CTACATAAACAGTCACCTGATCAGAAGTCGCATCGCTCCTGAGATGCAAATGTTCAAATTTGGCCCCCTTCGAATACTTCAGCAAATGCTGCAATGCACGAACATCACGTTTCGTGAGCGACGCAAATTGCCTCGCCAATTCTTTCACTGAAAACTGCATGTCTCCTCGCTCCTAACAAATGCACTGGAATCTCCCCACTGCACACCTGTACATATGATGTTCATCCGCATCAAAAACGACGAACTCTTCCCCGACCGCGCCCTTTACATGAAGGGCGTCTTTCACACCGGGTGTGCTTACAGGGGTACACTGCAACATGTTCTACATATTCAATGCGTCGTCAACATATTTTACTGTTAGGAAGCGTTAACACCACCGCTACATTTCACACATCCTATCGAGGTACTTAGTGGGAACATCGTCGTTGGTCAAACTATCACCACGCTTAAACAACAAGTCCCCCCCCGAGCTGCCCAAACAACTCATCAATCTTGTTTTTGTCTCCTATTGCAATCGGATCATCTGCGTGCGTGCTAACTCGAACTCCGCTCTTCCTATTCCAAAACAACTGCGGATCGGTCCAGCAACGGGTGAATCCAATATGTTTGGTTAAAGCGCTGGAAATGAGATCTTCGAAGTTTTGCGGTGCTTCCCTCAAACCATTCATTCATGGCATTGCTCATCTTCCAAACCCATGCGGGGCACCGAGAACGCCGCGGTTCTGGCGGGCGGCAGAAAACATTATGATTTGATATGTCGGCATGCATGAAAGCTACACTAAAATCTCCTGCGCAGACAGACCTCTAGCTTCTCTGCCATTGCGGTTGCTAGCAACATGCGAAGTCCAATCGGCGTCAGCGTTGCAGCGAAAACATCGTCTCTAGAACTTGCGATTTTCAGATATTTCGCAACAGGCTTAGACCGCGCCTCATCCCCTTTCATTTTGCGCACCCAGCCTGTCTCGATTGGGTTACTTAACGCGTCATCTTGGCGCCACCACGGATAAACATTAATTCTTTGGACATGATGTGTTCAACCAAGTCTTTGGGAAGCCCATCGATAAATTCAACACCTTCACACCATTGTTTCAAAAGTTCTTCATTGGTCAGGCAGAGGTCCGTTGAGTGAGGTTGTGGTTCTTCATGCAAATACTGGTCTTCTCCGGTGTTGAGAATCAATCGAAAGATCGCCGTGATTCTCGGTCCTGGCGCCTCTGGGTGTTCCTCTTCAGCCTTGCGTTTCCTAGCTGGTTGCCAGTCGTCCGGTGACGGTCCGTCCTCTTGCATTCGGTCGCCAGAAGCATCGTCGCGATGCTTGGCGTCGTGCGTTTTCTTCCGGCTTTTGTCGGTTGCTGCCTGTTCGGCTGCGTCGTCCTCTTCTTCCATCTCTCTGCGTCTTTCATCTCCCGCTCCGGCCGTCTACGCTTGCTTTCGGCAGAATGTGTATTACCGCGTGTTCCCTCGTGGCGCGTTTTTGCACTTGGGAGATTTGCCGTGCCCCTGCCAAAGCGAACGAAGTCTCCTGTTGGCTTCGCGCTGCTGTTGTTCAGGCGCGTTTGGGCCAGACCATGCGCGCCGCGGTGCCGGGTTGCCTTCAGAGCCCGGCTTGCAATTGAGATCCCACGGGGCGCCGTAGATCTGATCCACGACTGCTTTGTTGAACCGCGAGGTTTCTTCCAGTCCGCGCACGTTGCGCGATTGTCTCAGGCCTTTGGGGGTTGCGATGATATGCTCGTCATTGCCTGCAGCTTTTCCCATCCAGGCTCCGTTTACCCAGTGCGGTTCCATTTTGTGGACGATGAGGCCATTGTACCGCGCGCTAACGCATGCACCAAATTCAGCAACAGAAGCTCGGCATGGATGACCCTTTGTTCTTTGAAACAACGATTTTCCATCGTTCTGCTTTCGGTGCTGGGTGCGCAGCCATCCGCAGTGTCTGATCAGCCACGGCGTGACCAAGCTCGCGTTTTGAGCACCATGTTGCAATGGCCCTCAAGCGCCAGTTTCTGGGTCCGAACGAGACCCTCGATAGATTGGTGAAGGCGCCCCCAATGCCAGTAGACTGTCTGAATGCAACGGGCGTCTGTCTAAGATGAGTTTTCGGAGAAAGGCCGTCGACCTGTCTCTTGTTAGCGACTGCGCGGGCGAAATCTTTCACGGGAGATCCCGAGTCAGTCTGCAATAACTTCTCCGTTCAGCCCTGCACGTTCTAAATGTTTCGCAGCGACTCCGACGGCGCGCGCGTCGGAGGACCCTTTGGCCCTGACTTGCGCGCCCGCCCCATAACCGTTTACAACGTCAATTACCGACACACAAGTAATTACTGCTGCGTCTTGCGCTGTTTTCAAAAAGACATAACCTACTTGCAGTGGGGACAATGGATTCTTCCGGTCGTTTGCGTGGAGACTGCTTGGCACGCCCCTGCACGCAAAACTCACGCCACGCACGAAACGGCATATGCGTGAGATTGTGTTCCAACCGTTCTTTGGGTGTTGGTCCAATCGGAATGCTGGAAGCCAACGGTCTGCGACCTTCATCCTGTTGCTCTTGCAACGGAACCGGATCATATTGAGCAGAAGTCTTTTGAAGCGCGGTAATCGTCTTAAACGGTTCATGCTGCATCCACGGTACATGCTGGAAGCTTTGCGTTTCATCTCCCAACAAATCAAGGTTCACGTTGTCTTCAATACGTTTCCAAACCTGACTTCTGAGCAGTTGTATCCACGTAGACCTTACGAGACCCTGACCGCTGTCTGGGCACGCAAACTTGTTCGGAAAATTTGGCACTACATACGTCACTCCGTCGATGACATGTGTTCCTTCTTGTAGTGTTTCCGCTTGTGCTGGAGGTTCGTCGTCGCCAAAGGAACTTGCACTACGATTATCGATTGCGCTCTGTGCGCCTGTAGGCCCGCTAGGTTGTGGATGAATTTCTCCTGAGAGGCTCATTCGCACGTCGATCGTTTCAGAATTGTTCTCAGGATCGTTGTTTTTCTCTCGTTGCAAAGCTCTCGGTGGTCTTGCGATGAGTGCTGATGGGATCATCGCTGTCATCATCTGAATCTGCATCTGTCATCACAAACCATTCAGGACAGTCGCGGAAATCGTCGCATTGGTCGACCACAGGATTCGTTTGAGAGCTTGTTTCTTCAAGAACTCGAATGGGAGCCCACATTTACACAACAAACATGCTCACTAGGTGCGCTGCTGTCGCCGCCAACATCGCTGCACGAATCCGCAGCACCAGATTCGAAAGCAAATGCGTTGTCGCCTTGTCAGCCCTCGGCAAGCTCATCTAGCTCACATGCAAAACGCCCGTTCGAATCGCTCGACTCGGTGTCGCTGTTGCTGTTGTCCGGAGAGCTGCTGCCAGGAAGCAGAGCCGCGAACTCCTCGGGGGAATATTCGTCGTATTGCTTTGGCTGCTCTCCTCCATCCTGATTCCCATCGCCCTGCGAGTTCCAGGACCACCCGGGACCCCAAGAGTCCTGATCCCAGGCCTGTTCGTAGGAATGGCTTCCTTTCCCTAATCGAGTTTTCTTGTGGAATCTGCACTCTGACGTCCAATGGTTCCTCACCCTGCAAATGTCACACCACTGGTTCACGTTCTGGCTCCATCCATTTTTGCCTCCACTGCTCGACTGGTCCCTGCCTTTGCCTCCAGGGTTCGCTTGGTCTTTGTCTTTTCCTTTCCGCTCGTTCTGGCACCAACCCTGGGTCCGAGTGGAGGAACCCTGTCCTCGCCACGAGAATGATGGGTATCCACGGCCAGACCACGCTCCTTGGGAAAATCCCTTCGGAGTGCCCCTTGGATGTGCCTTTGGGGAATCCTTTGGGAGAGCCCCTACTGTCACCTTGCGGGGGTCGTCTCGGAAAACCTGTCGGGGTACTTTTCGGAGAACCCTTCAAAGCATCTACTTCCATGGGTTTGGGGCCGTTCTCTTTTCTGGCGTATGGTTTTTTCTTTCAACCACGTTTGCTTCCGACGTATTTGTGCATATCACGTTTGAGGGCTTCGTAAGTTTCGCATAAATGGCCATTCAATTCAAAATGTGTTGTCATTGGTTCTGGGATCGTCTTCATGACCACGCTAACTATGACATCATTTGCTAGCTCGTCTGGGGAAGCTCGATCATTGTATTCTTTTATGAGCAATTCAATATCCTCGAGGCGTTCAAGAACCTCTGGGAGGAAGGCGCCCGCGAAACTAAAATCCATAACTGCATTCAGAACTCCTCTTTTCGTATTTTTGTCTTTGCGCTTGTATCTCATTCACATCATACGCCACATCTCAAGACCGTTGCCTTTCTCTATCTTCCTAAACAGTTTCGTCATCTGTTCGTACACAACGCTTTTTAGAATGTAGGCTAGGTTCGGATATTGTTGTTTTACATCTTCTTCCGTAGTTGCTAACGTGATTGGGTTCGGATGTTTTCGCGCGCGTGCTCCATGTTCTGCAACATCACTCGGCTCACAATTCCACAAAAAGATTCGAAACGAAAAAAACATCAATCGCTCCACTCACCTTCATCTCCGGAGAAATATTAAAGACCTTGCCCTAAGAGTTTCGTGTCAATCACTGATGCCACTTTCCTTACACGAGGTGTCTTCCCAAAGCCCTACCTGGGATGGGGATGCTACTCTACTCTACAACGAGTCTAGGTTGGGGATGTATGCTAGGTCCGTGCATTGTTCACCACGGCTCCGCTACCATGGAAAGATATGCGGATGATTTCGATATGAAAAATGCCATCCTGGGTTCGAGGCTCAAGCCGGCTGCGGGTAATGGGATTGAAACACCTCCTCCTCCTCCTCCTCCTCACATCCTCCTCCTCCTCCTCCTCCTCCTCCCTCCCTCCCTCCCTCTCTCCCTTCCCTCCTCCTCCTGCTCCTTCTCCTCCTCCTTCGCCTCCTCCTCCTGCTGCTCTTCCTCCTCTTCCTCCCTCCTGCTCCCTCCTCACACCTTCTGCGCGGGGCCGCTTGCGGCCCAGGGCCCCCGCCTGGTAGAGCCGCTCCCCGGCGCAGCCGCTCCCCGCGCTGCCGCGCCGGCGCCCCGGCGCGAAATGCCGGGCGCCGCCGCCGGGCGGCTGCCTGCGCGGGGGACGGAGGAGGAGGAGGAGGAAGAGGAGGAGGAGGAGGAGGCGAGGAGGAGGAGGAGGTGGAGCAGGAGCGAACGAACCCTTGATGGGGGCAAGTCAGACGTCTAGCGGCCGTCACTTGCGCTGGCAGCGCAAGGTGGCACGCGGAGCGGCACAGGCGGCGCTTTCACTGCGTAGCTTACGTTTCGAAGCGGAGAAAAGGAGCGGTCGGGCGGCAAGAAGAAAGGCACACGAGAGGACGAGAGGGACGGCGGACGGTCGGAACGAGGGAAAGGCAAAACAACAGCAGGCGGCGGGCCCGCGTTCCGGCCTCCATGCGGCGAAACGCCGAGACGGAGGGCCTGGCGGGCGGCGGCGCGCGCTACACTCAGATGGTTGTACGTCGAAGCCTCGAACGCGTTTACGTCGTCGTAGGAGGCCTGGAAATCCTTGCAGGTGTGGTACATGCGGTACGTGACGGCCAAGCGGACCATCGCGTGGGAGACGTGGTTCTCGTCGTTCGGGTCGACGTTGTGGCAGCTGTCGTGCATCCCGAGGCGGGCCAGGATGCAGTTCGAGAGGCGGCCCCTGGGGTATGCCAGCGCATGCCACTGTCTAGGGCAAATGAGGTAGTGCGAGATGCTGTCCGTTGCGTGGTTCACGTTGCGCCCGTATATGCAAGGGCGCCGATCAGGTTGAATGTGGAGACGGCATGAAGTAGACCAGGCGCCAACCAGGGTCTTCATCGTGGGCCAAAAGCGCGATGGGGGCATGCGGGCGATCTTTGCTCGCGTGCGCCACCAATGGATATTGACGCTGTTCGGGAGCTGGTACAAAGCGGTCCGGTCGTTGAACGAGATGGCGTCTGGTTGCAGGTGTTCGTTGACCTCCTCGATGTAGGCGGTGTCGGACGGGTCGGAGACAAAGTCGGCCATGTGTATCCACTGGCGACGGAGACGGTGTTCTTCAGCTGCAAGGTTGAACGCTGCCTGCGTGTCGTACGTGCGCGGAGTCCTCGTCATGTAGATCGCCCTGCCGTAGCGGTTGGCGTCTGAATCGTACCATGCGTGTCGGCAGATATTGCGAGCGCGTCGACGGAGGTCTTCTTCCGAGGCAGCGGTGTAAAGGATGCACAAACTCCATCGGCGAAGATGACGGAGCACATATTGTTCGCACCAGTCCATCCAGTCGATGTCTCGGCGAAGCGTGTGGTCCCAGCTGTCGATGTACAGGTCGGGGAGCCAGTCCGAGGCCCAAGGAGTAAGTAATTCAGCAAGAATATGAAGTTCGCGAGCGGCAGCAGCGTGATCATCGTGGCTTTCATTGGTATGGGGGCAGAAGGGAAGGCAGTAGTTGCTGGGATCGGTTGATGAGGAAACGAACGTGTAGAGTTCAGCATTGTGCGAGTAGCAGGACTGAGCAGTTGATGTTCACCACCTATCGTGGGATCTTGCCCTGCAGTGGCCATGGGGATGTAGGGGAACCAAGCCTTCACGCGCTTCACGATGGTGATGTCAAAACTGTCCTCGTACAGGTGAGTCTGGAAAGCATCTAGGTACTTCGATTGAGGTGACTTGCGTCGAGGTAAACCCGGCACAGGAGCAGGAACGGGACGATGCGGCGGCGAAAACGCCGCGGCAGCAGCACGGCGATGAGCAAGTAGAAGTTGCGTTTTTCGTCCTTTTCAGGGCCATGAAGATGGAGCCGTTGCCCGTTGGGAAGGCGATGCCGTTCTTCGCGGCTTGGAGGTGCTGGGCGATCGAGGCGGGCGAAGCCCACCATTCGGCAGACCAGTGACCCTGCACCGTCGCGACGATGGGGGGTTCGCCGTGGCGGATTCGTTGAGCATGTCGATCAGCGGGGGCCAGACCTTGATGGTAGTGGTAGCAGATCTCCACAGCGTCGCATTCATCAGCACCTCGGCGCCCGTGGGGATGACAGCACCAGCCCAGCTCTTCAGACCCAGGATGTCCAGCTTGGTGAAGGCTGAGGGCGGGGAGCAAGTTATTTTGTGGAGGACGTGGATCTCGCGGCCGGGTATCAGTTCAGGAACAGGGAAAAGTTGGCCAACGTATGCTAGCGTTGTCAGCGCAGAGGAGTTGTACGATTTAATGATCCGTTGGATCAGGGCATGAGACTCGCCGAGGATCTGGGCACGGAAAAGCCACTTGGCGGCGGGGCCAGCCAATTGAGCACGTTCGTCAGCTCCTGGGCCCATGAACACGCCGAGGTGCTTGGCATAATATTCGATCTTGAAGAGGGCCCAGTCGGCGTGGATATGAGCCAGCGTGCCTTTGAGGCTGTCGATCAGGTCGGAGGAGGAGGTGGAGGAGGAGGACGACGACGACGACGTGTCGACGATGGCGCACGCCTCTGGAGCACAGTTCGATGTCTGAGCGGACTGGGCGCCCGAGGACCCGCACGCTCGATGAGAACCGCAATAAACCTATACGACCACCCTTCGAGTGATAAGGAGGTTTTTTGGGGGGGGAGAACAAACGTCTCACTCGATCGGTCTCACTATCGATCTCACCATCGGTCCCGCTCGATAGATTTCACTCGGTCGATCTCACAATCGATCTCACTCGATAGATTGCATTCGATCGGTCCCACAATCGATCTGACTATCGATCGCACTATCGATCTCACTAACGATCTCGCAATCGGTCTCACATTCGGTCTCACTATCGGTCTCATTATCGATATCACAATCGATCTCACAATCAACGCCGCCGCCATCATCATGAACGACAGCATCGTCATCAACGTCATCAACATCATCATCACCGGGACACCACCACCATCATCACCTCATGTCCATCATCACCAACATCATCATCACAAACATCATCATCGGGCCCATCGGGGCACCATAATCGGCACCATCATCATCCTCAACATCATCATCATCGGGGCGCCATTATCATCATCATCGGAGCACCACCATCATCATCACCATTATCATAGCATCATCATCGTTAACAACATCATTATCAGCATCGGGACACCATCATCATCACCTCACCATAATCCTCATCATCAACAACATCATCATCGGGACACCATCATCATCAACAACATCAGCATCCTCATCAACATCACCATCATCGGGCCACCATCATCAAAATCATCGTCATAACCTCATCATCACCCTCATCATCAACATCATCATCACCATCATCGGGACACCATCGTCGTCATCATCATCATCATCACCATCATCGAGACACCATTTTCATCATGTTCATCATCATCAACAGCATCATTGCCAACCTCATCAACATCATCATCATCATCATCATCGGGACACCATCATCATCATCATCTTCATCATCACCACCTCATCATCATCTCACCATCATCAACAACACCAGGATAATCAACATCATCATCATCATCATAATCATCATCGGGACACCATCATCACCAGCAGCATCATCATCATCAACATCATCAACACCATCATCATCATCACCATCGGGACACCATCATCACCACCATCAACATCACCATCATCATCATCATCATCATCAACATCATCGACATCATCATCATCATCATCATCATCATCATCATCATCATCATCATCATCATCATCGTCCTCATCATCATCGGGACACCGACGGGACACCGGCGGGACACCGGCGGGACACCGGGCGGCACCGGCCCCCGGAAAGAAAACATTTGGTCTGGCCGCGCCTCAGCCGGAGGCGGGAGACCGTCGGGACACCGCGCGGCACCGGCCACCGGAAACGAAACATTTGGTCCGGCCGCGCCTCAGCCGGAGGAGACTTTCTTACGCCCGCCCACGCAGCTTCGCCTCGCCCGCACGCACGGCACGCACGAACACGAAACCGAAACCGATTTCCGAGTAGGGGGGCTCTGCGTTCCACTTCGATCTCACCCCCTCACCTCCGATTAAACATCACCTCTGGTCCTCAAGCAGACCTGTCAAGCCACAAATATGGAGTAGCCCCCTGCGCAAGCAGAATTTGACACGGATACGCAAGGAACGGCAAATGCTAAAACGGGTGCCCCAGGATGCACAGATCCAGAAGGGTAGAACGGTCTGGACGCAGAGCAGCACGAGGACGGAGGAGGGAGGAGGAAGGAGAAAAGTAGGAGTCTACAGTGATCCAGCAATCATTGCACGGGGCCCCAGTCCCGGAGCTGGTATTCTCTCCTACTTTGAAGCAGTCCGAGCATGCTTCTGATAGTGGTGGTGTCCCACCTCCCACCTGGCAGCTCGCACTGAAGCAGACACATCGCGAGAAGAGGAGTGAGGATAGCCAGAGGGGGGCTGGTGTAGGCAGGCCGAACCTCAAATTCCTGGGTGCACTCGCCCTCACTCCATCAACTTCCCGGGTGCATGTGGGCACCCCGCTCACTCGCCCTCAGGTTCCCGGGTGCATTGGGCGACTCTGAACTCAGTGCTCCTCCAGATTGCAGAAGCTCGTGATGGGGATCCGCTCGAGGTGGTGCATGGGCGCCACCCCGTTCTTTCGAAGTGCGCCCAGCTGTTCCAGGCAGCTGCTGTTGAGGCGGTGACGAAGTCCGCGCGCGCAGGAAGTCGAGAAATCTGCCAGCCTGTTCGTTGGACAGATAACGGTTTTCGCATGTGTTGAAGAGCGCTGTCTGGACATACGCCGAACACCAATGACTTGTTTCGCGAGGATTTCGACACGCGCGCGTGGCCGCGCGCGCGTGAGGCCACCGATTCGTGCACTTGACGCGGATGCCCATGGTGGTGAGATGACAATGCGTTTCCCCGACGAGCCTGCTTCAATCCGATGGTTGTCCTATGATTTCGGCATGTGCGCGCGGGACTAATCCATACAAGATGCTGCGATGAACCCATGGGCGGTTAATGCTGTCATGTTGAAATACTTGCGCAGCGAATGTGTTTGGTACGAGGTCGAACTGTGCGCGTGCGTGTGTACTTCGTTGGTTGTTCAGCAAATAGGCGATTGGAAAAAATAACGTGCGATGAACACGTGCGCGTGCATGATATCA